CCAACCATACTCAATGTGTAGTCCTTAATAGAACTGTATTTACATGTAGGGACATATGCAATGGGGATCCCCAAGACTTTATCTAAGGCCCAGTACTCTTCAATATCTTCATCAATTACTTAGACCAGCGGTTCTCAACCTGTGGGTCGCGACCCCTTTTGGGGTCGAACGACCATTTCACAGGGGTCACCAAAGTCCTGGAGTTTTTCCTCATAGAATCCTTATGAAATGCAGTCCGGCATTTTTTTTTTGTTTTTTTCCCCTTTTTCATGAGCTGTGCTATTCCTTCTTATTCTACTGGCTTTTGAAAGCCAATAGACTAGACTCTATTCAAGATTACCTCCCATCGACCTGTACGCTCCCACAGAGTGGGTCTCCTCAGGGTGCCGTCAGCCAGACAGTGCCGGCTGGCGACCCCAAGGGGGAGGGCCTTCTCTGTGGGAGCTCCCACCCTCTGGAATGAACTGCCCCCAGAGATCAGGGTGATCCCTGATCTCCCTTCCTTCCGCCGTGCCCTTAAGACATGGTTGTTCCAGCTTGCGGGACTGGCCTAGGGGATTTTAGAGGGGGTTTTAATTATATTTTAATTGGATTAGATTTAAATATTTCCCTTTTAATTAATTTTAAACTTGTATTGTAATGCTTGTATTTTTATCCGATTGTTAGCCGCCCTGAGTCCGTAAGGAGAAGGGCGAGATATAAATGTAATAAAATAAATAAATAAATAAATAAATTCGAAAGCCAATATTTTCTATTGGCTTTCAAACGCCAATAGAATAGACTCTCTTGAATACAGTCTAATTCTATTGGCTTTCAAAAGCCAATAGGAATTGTCCAGGCTGTCTCTGCCCTGCTGAGCTGCCAAAAATCCCAGTCGGCAAACGTTGCTGCAGGTTGTCTGCAGCTAAGGCGAGCTTTCTGGAAATTTCCACCCCTCCCTGCTGAGCAACTACTAAATGTAAGTAAAAGAGGGCCAGGGGTGGGAGGGCCACCCAGGAGCACCTGGGCCTGCCTGCCGCCGCACCGAACGGGGGGCAACGGCGGGTACTGGGAGGGTAGCTGGTGTGCGTGGGGCCCGGCATTCACCCCATGTTTTCTGCTCCACCCCAAATTCGCCTCCCTTCCACTCTCCTTATGCAGCCATCTATGGCCTTAATACAGCCCTCAGTCTGTCTCGCTTTCAACACCCCCTAAAATTCTTCATTCAGGCAGGCTTCCAGAATTTGGCTGGCAGGATGCAGGTAACCCCTCCCCCTTGTCCTGCCGCCTCCCATGGCGCTGCGCCACTCCGTGTCCCGTGCCTCCGTGTCTCAAGCCTCTGTGGCACAGAACTGCTGGCGTTATGTTTGGGCGGAAGATTTTTTTCTTTTACAGATGGGGCGGGTGGGCCCGACATTCACGGGCAGGCAGGACCCCGCCCACTGAGCTGCCGCCTCCCCATCGCCTTCCACACCAGCCGGCTCCGTCGCCAGACCTCCCAGCTGACGGGCGCAGGAGTTCGGCGCTGTGTCCAGCCAAAGAAGCAGGTGGCTGGGAGGCCGCTGCGGCGCTTACCTCCTGTGCCTGTCAGCTGGCTACCCCCAGACCTGCACCCGTCAGCTGGGAAGTCCGGTGATGGAGCCGGCTGGCGTGGAGGGCGGTGGGGAGGTGACGGCTGGCTCAGCGGGGGTGGTCCTGCCTGCCCGCGAATGTCGGGCCCACCCACGCCATCTGTAAAAGAAACAAATCTTCCGCCCAAGCATAACTTTTAAGGATTTTAAGGATCTTTGAGAGGGAGAGAGAAATAGAGAGAGGGAGCTGAGCTGAGCTGGTCCCCACACCTCCTGGTGGCCCGGCCACCCTCTGCGCCACGCTGGAGCCTCCCACACACCACCCGGCCCGCCTCCCTCACCATCGGAGGCCGCCTCAGCCCTCTGGCGACCGGCGCAGCCCTGGGGCTGGTGGGCAGGAGCAGCTCCTTCCCGGCTCGCCGGGCTCCATGTCTCAGAAGCGGCCAGGCGGCGGGGAAGAGGGTGAGGTAGCGGCGATGCCCGCATATGCATTGGAGGCCAGCCAGCCGGCTCGGGAGGGGAGAAGCAGCACCTTCTGAGTGGGAGCTGGCGCTCCGGCCGCGCCCCTCTCGTGTGCAATGAATTGGGGAAGGGTTTGGCGGTGAAGGGCTGTGCAGCATGGAAAGGGGCTCCCGTGACCCCACCACTGCGATGGCGCTTAGGAGGCTGGAGGGGTGGGCAGGTCCCGGAGGGGCGGCTGGGAGAGGGCAAGAGGTGCCAGGATGAGGATGGAGGGCTCCAGGGTGGCGGGCACGAGAGGGTGGCCAGCGGCTCCGAGGTGCGCGGATCCTCCGTGCGGCTTCTGAGGCCCTGGAGGTGATGCCACTTGGCTCTCTGCCAGGCTCTCCGCCAGAGCCTCCCCCCTCCCCGGGCAATTGTGCGGAGCTGCTTGTGTCTCCTTGGCAGCGCCTGCAGGCAAGGCTGTGTGCCCAAGCCAAAATGCCGCGCTTTTCCTACCGCTTCTCCTCCCGTTGGTCAAAGAGGCAGACATGATTTCCCTTTCCCTGGTTCTTTTCATCTGTGCTGGAAAGGACAATTTGGGCTATTTTATTTTATTGCTTGTTTTATTACTTGTTGCCTTTGCTGAACCAGGGAAAATTGGTTAAAGTGATTTTCAGGAGCTGCAGAATGGGAGGTTCATTTCGGCGTCGTTAATGGGCCGGTTAAAAGGGACGATCCCGTAGACACACACAGAGGTCTGGAATGACCTGATGGTAGGGGTCGTCGGGATTTTTCGTGACACCTTCTCACTCCAATGCTGGGAGTTGCAGTTCATCACCATCTGGGAAAACATGACTCTCCAAAGATCATTCCTTCCTTCCTTCCTTCCTTCCTTCCTTCCTTCCATCCATCTCCTTCCCTTCCCCTTCAATCTCTCCTTCCTTCCATCCATCTCTTTCCCTTCCCCTTCAATCTCTCTCTCTCTCTCTCCCTCCCTCCTTCCTTCCTTCCTTCCTTCCTCCTTCAATCTCCTTCCTTCTCCATCTCCATCCCTTCCCCTTCAATATCTCTCTCCTTCCTTCCCCCTTCAATCTCCTTCCTTTCCTTTTCAATCTTCCTTCCTTCCCCTTCCCTCCCTCCCAACATTTTTGAGCAAGGAAGAGTAAGCTTCTCCAGCGAGCATTGCTATATTGTTTTTGTGATTAATCACTATGCTTTAATTATGTTCAATTCGTAATAATGAAAATACACCCTGCATATCAGATATTTACATTACGATTCATAACAGTAGCAAAATTACAGTTATGAGGTAGCAACGAAAATAATTTTATGGTTGGGGGTCACCACAACATGAGGAACTGTATTAAGGGGTCGCGGCATTAGAAAGGTTGAGAACCACTGACTTAGACAAAGGGTTAGATGTAACTCCTCAACTCATCAGATTTTCAGATAACACTAAGCTGGCAGGAATAGCCAACACTCCAGAAGATACAGAAGTTACAGAAGGATCTTGACAGACTTGAACACTGGACCCTATTAACAAAATGAAATTCAATGGTGAAAAAGTAAGGTTCTACATTTAGGCAAGAAACACCGAACTATAGGTGGTACCTGACTCAATAATAACTGTGGGAAGGAACTTGAAGTCTTAGTAGACAATCACTTAAATATGAGCCAGCAGTACTGCAGCTACCAAAAAAATTAGCTGTTTTAATTTTGGGGAGGCAGTAGAGGGGATGGGTTGTTTTCTTTTTTGCCTTCCTCTTTTCTCTTTTCTTTTCCTTTCTCTTCTTTCTTTCTTTCTTTCTTTCTTTCTTTCCTTCCTTCCTTCCTTCCTTTCTTTCTTTCTTTCTTTGTATTTAAGTAAGATATGCAGGGACTTATTCAGGCTGACATAACTGAACAGAAGAAAAAATATATAGATATACTACTCTAACCAAATAAAAGGAAAAACGAACACCAGGATATAATAAACCAGACTGTTTAATATAAACAAGCCTGTGGCCAAAATTGCCAGCGTCATCAGAGTTAGAATAGAAGGAGATTGGGAAGGCAGCTCATATAGCCTCCTGCCTCTGTGCCCGGCTCCTTGAGTGCATCATCAGCCTGTTGATTGTATTAATCCGTATCGCGCAGAGTTGTTCTGCATCAGGCAAACTGTCCTTGGCTCCACTAGTTGTTTTACGATCCTCAAGTGCACTTTTAGAGTGTGTGCAAGCACTTGGAGGGCGGCTGTCAATCCATCCCTGCGTCCAGTCTCCCTCCCTCCCAGGGCCATTATCCTCTCCCACCCAGAAACCGAAACAATGTGTGTGTATTTATATATTGTAGTTTGCATATTTTAAATATAATATTTGTATATTATATTAAGAGCCAGGGTGGCACAGTGGTTAGAATGCAGTATTGCAGGCTAATTCTGTTGACTGCCAGCTACCAGCAGTTCGACAGTTTAATTTTTACCAGATCAAGGTTGACTCAGCCTTCCATTCTTCCAAGGTCGGTAAAATGAGGATCCAGATTGTTGGGGGCAATATGTTGACTCTGTAAACCACTTACATAGGGCTGTAAAGCACTGTGAAGTCTAAATGCTATTGCTATTGCTATATATTTTGTAAATAAGGCAAATTAATTAAAATACAAAATATATATTTTGTACAAAATATATATTTTGTAAATAAGGCAAATTTTGTAAATAAGGCAAATTAATTAAAATACAAGTCCAATACACAAATAAACATAAAACTATTAATAAAATTTCTAAGTAATCCATTTCTTTTCTGAGAACCTAAACTATACCTATATTTGAAATCAATGATGCTTTGAATTAAAACATTAGAGAAATATTTAAAATGTTATTAGCCTCCATACACTCCTATGACTTTAAAATGTTTCTGTCAATATTTTAACATTGTATTCTTATATTTCTGTCATCATGAGCTTTTACAATCTGAGAGGAAACCAAATGTTTCTTTCTGTGCCATGTTATAAAACAGTGCCCAGTATACCTACCGGTCCCAGACGAAAAACCAGGGCTTTGGAAATTATAATTCTTGATTTCACTATACCATCTGTCAGCTACTTCATTTCCTGCAAGACAAAGAAAACTGTGCAATGGAACTGGAATGAAATGAACCTCTTCTCTTCTCTTCTCTTCTCTTCTCTTCTCTTCTCTTCTCTTCTCTTTTCTTGACAGTTAGAGATTATCCAATTCTTTTTATTAATTCCATTATTAATTTGATTAAGGCAAGGCTTTTCAACCAGTGATACGGGTACCACCTGTGGTACATTGGCACCTGGTAGGTGGTATGCAACCATCCTAGAAAAGTGGTAGTGGGGGAGGGGAATGAGCTGAACCAGTGGCAGCACCGCACAAGCCTGAGCGAGAGATGGCTGGAGCTGCAGGGCTGTCAGGGCTCAGTGGAAGCGCCAGGATCAGCGCTTCTTCGGGGATATCAGGGCTCAGTGGAACCACCAGGATCAGCGGCAGGCTCCAGCTGGAGCTCGGCGCTGATCCTGGAGCTTCTGCTCAGCCCAGAAGAACCCCCATCAGCTGGAATGTTGCAGCATCTCCAGGGTCTTGTAATTTACATTAAGATGCTTGGCAACTGCTTCATATTTATGATGGTCACAGTGTCTCAGGGTCATGTGAAGTGACCAAAACCTGTTGCAACCACCCAGCTGATGGGGGGAATAAAACCAAACACCCCCCACCCCCCCCCACTGCCAATCCTCAACAGAAATGCTCACAACAATGAAAACCTCGGATAGGAGGAAGAGCGCCGCTGGGTGGGCAGGCAGGTGTCTTGCTTGGCTGTGGCTTGGGGGGCACTTTTTCAGTGCCATTGTAACTTTGAACAGTCACTAAGCGAACTGTTGTAAGTCGAGGACTACCTGTACTTCATCACTTTTTTCCATTTTGGGGGGAGTCATCAAGTTTTTGACACCTTGCTAGGTGACTGGTGGTACTCGGATATTGCCATATCCTAAAAGTGGTACAATGGGTGAAAAGGTTGAAAAGCCCTGGATTAAGATATTGATCATTAGCCATGATAGTCTGATTTCTTAAGAAAATATTGAAATAAGTTAAAGGAAATTGTAAGCACATAATACTATTGAAAGAATTTTTAAAGGCCTAGGTAGCTAGGAAATAGCTTTTGTTTATGTATATACGGTCTGTAATTATTAAAATATTTTCCTGTTATTTTCTAAAAAAATTCATTTATTTAACATCAACATGCATATAAGAGCAAGATAAAGGAAGAATGTTGATGTTAAGGTACTAACCTATATTGGGACTATTTAAAGACATAGATATAAGTCCTCATAATCATAAGAAGTGTGTGAGACTGGGGACAATTTTGTGCACACTGCCATATCAGAATGGGACAACTCGCCGCAGCCAGCTCACTGTGGCCAGCTCGCCTCTGCCAACTCGCCATTACCAAGTTGCCACAAGACAATTCCACCTGGCCAACTCACCAGGGGGACAATTTGTTGTGGTCGGTCGGAAGAAGAGCCAGGTGGGCAAGGGGGAGGAGCAGGAAGGCAGAATGCATGAGGTGCAGCAGGCGAGCGAGTGGGCAGGGTGCAGTGCAAGGATAGATTGCCCGGGTGACTGGAGAAAGAGCCAAGTGGGCGACTGAATGGTGAGCAGAGTGGATAGAGCACGCAGGGTGCAGTGAGAGGATGGGTCACACCACCAACTGCAGTAGCAGCAGTAGCAGCCAGAGCCGCAAAGTGCAAAATGTGTCCCGCCATGCAGAAGCACCAGCCAATTGGTGCTTGGTGCAGGTTGCCATTGGATTACTGAAAATGAATCTGAGGCATAAGAAGCTCAGTGTTATTCTTTTTTCCCCTCTCTTGGGGGATATATGCATATTATCTGAAACAAATAAGTTCCAATGGCTGGCTGAGTTGCCTGAATTCAATCCTAGAAATCCTAGCTGCTGTGCTAGGCTCTGGGCAGAAGAGAACAAGGATGGCGGGGGCAGCCATGGTGGGCAGTAGAGGGTACCAGCTGCACAAGGAGAATAAGCTGCTCTGGCATTACCATGGTCACATAAGATGCATTGGACAGGGAAAGGGGTGTTCCGGATACTACCTGTCGTGGCCCATGCCAACTTGTGCCAAACATTTAGCAGCTGGTAGTGGCATGCACCACAAGCTTCTGCTGCACCCACAAGCTCTGCCCACCTCACTTCTACAGCTGCCCAAGGTGAGTTGTCCCCCAGTGAGTTGGCAGTGTGGAATTGTCCTGTGTCAACTCAGTGAAGGCAGAGTTGGCAAGTTGGCAGAGGTGAGTTGGCGGGGACGAGCTGACTAGGCAGACTAAGTAGAAATATTATCTAACCTCAAGTTATCTTACGAGCTTCATGATCAAATGAGGACTTGATTTGGATCTCACTACCTTAGTCTAATAATTTAACCACTTTTCCACTATAATTGATCTACCAAAAGTAACCAGCAATAACAAATTTAGGCACAGCACTAATAGATAATGTAGAGACAAGACAACTATTCAAGAGTAGTTCATTCCCTTTACTTGTGGCAACAGAGAATGTATGAAAGAACCAAGAATATAAGTGCTTGATGTATTGCAAATTTTGGTAGCAAATTGTTGTGTCCCGGGACTTGCAGCAAGCAAGCCCAGGCAGTTGCCATGGCAACAGGCTGCAGAAGCTGCCCGGGGGCCAGACAAACTGGCAACAGCCTGCGCGCATGCGCAAGAAAGCGCGCGCGAGCAGTAGCAACTTTACCCGGACCGTTCTTGTTCGTTGTTGTTGGTTGAAGCAGAGGAAGAAGCAGGAGGCCTGTGAGTCTCCGTTTTCACTGTATGACTCTAAGTGCCATTAAAGAAGACATTTGGTTCACACAATGCCTGTTGTACTAGTCATTGAATCCAAGGATTTAACACTGGCGACGAAGGTGGGATCATCTTACAACAATTTAACAGAGTAAGACGCACCTAAAGGAATCCTTGGAGAGGAAGACGGCGTCAAACAGCACTTGGCCTGCCAGTAAAGCATCGCTGGAGGTAAGCTGGCTAAAAGACCCCTTCCAGAAGAGAGTGCATGATGGCAAAGATAGGAAGGCTGCCTGAGTTTGATGTGGGCCATCCTGAGAAATGGGAGACTTATGTGGCCAGAGCAGAAACCTATTTCAGAGTCAACCAAGTAAGGGAAGATGGTTTAAAGGCTGCAACATTACT